GTGGTGTATGGAATTCTCTTCCATCTCGTGTAAAGGGTGCTCCTACAGTTGAGTTATCCAAATTGCAGCTTGGTAGACCATTGAAGCGAGCAACGATTATTATTATTTTTATTTATATATTTGTCCAAAGCATTCTGCAAAATTCCTATGTTAGGTGTTAGCTTTGTAAACTTGACATTAATAAAACCTTAACTTTGAAATGTCCTTTCCCTCGATGAATTTTTAACTCGAAAAACGTTTAGATGAAAATCTGTCAACTACTTTTATACGTGAATATCGATACACGAATTCATAAAGTTCATTTATGTTATCCCGTTACCGGGATCCACTAAAATTTTCGCTGATTGTTTCATTAAATAACTTTTGATTATTACCCCCTTTGTGTTTGGATTTACTCATAGGCACCGATCTAATCAAATTTCCTGCACATGCTCAGTGTATCCCGTCCGTTTTCGGTTATTCTTTTTAAATTTCCATCCTAGGCACGGCATTTGACGGTTCACAGATTGAAGTAACTTGGGCCAAACCGGTGGACAAAACAGATAATGCACGTCTAGGTCGTTTATCTAACACAAACACAAATAGTTCGGCTCTGTCCAATTTGTATCCGGTTGTCTCACGAATGATGCATCCAACTGTGAACAATGTTCTCGGCTCCGCATTGACCGACAATTCGTTCAAAATCCCAATCAGCAATATGTTGACCGGACCGATCCCGATCAATTGTGTCCCGCCCGCGTTCGCCACACCACTGACCACGGTTCCATTTCAAAACCCTTATCGTGCTCTGTCGTATTTTCAAAATTCGAATGACTTTGCCGGGCTGACCACGACATCTCATCCCATGCATTTGAATACGTTGACCCTGGTTCAACAACCACCAGCTCCAGCACCCGCACCCACGGCGATGATCCCGAATGCGTATGTGGGTACGAGCAGTTTAACCGGTCCGGATAGTGCAACCCGTGTGAACACGATAGCCGCCCATTCACCGTTACTCACACTGAAAGGACCGGAAAATTTACAAGACCAAAGATCGGAATTCAGCCTGTCGGAGATGGGGAAAATGAAAGCGTAAGCAGAAACAGATCGATGAATTTAATAATGGGCTTGAACTGTGCGGAAGAATCCAGTAGTAAAAGTTCGCAGGCAAATTTAAGATTGAAACTTTTTTGCCGGGCGGCAATACAGACAACATCAAACTACTGCACACCTGAGATTTGCTTACAGACCTCATTCAGACTTACATGTACAAAGTGAGAGAAATAGACGCGTTATGACGCGTAATAAGAGATAAAAGGTAAATAAGAGTCCATATTCGTAACTTTCACTCACTTTAGACTGGCAATCAGAACCGTTACACGAAAGTGCGCAGTTAATGATCTAATTTAAGTACAACTGAAACCAAACCTCAAATTGTTGTTTGGCAGATTGGAATTTTTACCGCGATATTGTGAAAAGTTCAATAGCATCTGGGGGATTCAAACCCACGCATGGACACCGTCTACGCTTTTGTACAGCGCATGCTCTACCAGCTGAGCTACGAGGACACACCGATAATACTGATATTTTCACATTCAAATCGTCCACACAACTTACAGAAGCATATGGCATCAATACGATAGAAAGATTTTGTGGTTCCATGGGCAGGAACGATTTACTACGACTCGCTTGCTTCCCAATTTATTATATTTTCTTACCGTTCCGGCAAACAAGAGTTTCAACAAATCCCTAGTTCTGTGCCGTCAAATCAGGTGAGACATACTCAACAGCTGACGAGTCACACCATCCGTCTCTCAGCCGTGCTGATTCGATCGTCACAACCAGATCCGTCTATGAATGCAAAGACATAAGAATAGGATGTTAAACCTTCACTTATTTCTTCGCTAGGCAAACAAATAGGTAGTTAAAATATTGGAACTGAAACAAGCATCCGGACTGACAACGTTCATGGTTGTGCAGCTAAGCAACTGAGATGTTTTTGAGTTATTTGATAAAGCCCACATTCGTCCACCACAGATTTCAGTATCTTGGTTGGTTCGTGAGTCTACAGTGTGTTAGAATTAGCCATATTTCGGTAGTTATGGTCATCCAATCGATATATTCTGTATTCATTTTTTGCGTGTTATCGTGTGTACTTAGTTCTTGTGATTGCGATATCCCACCGTTTTTCAGGTACTGCATGCGTTTGAGTGCAGTTATTGAAAGTAATAATAGCAGTGAATAAACGCAATGATTTCTGGGGCCTTGTACCTGGTATTGTGAAAGCGAAAATTGTCCAGAATCCAATCACATCATGATTGGGTGGTAAGTTTTATCAGTTCGATCCCACATGAACTTTCGATGAATCATAGTTCGAGTTCTGCTCGCAGGTCATACTTTGCTCAGTCGCAAATCGAGCTCTTGTCTGGGTCCAGTTGATCAACTCAAACTGATGCATACATTATTGATAATGACCTGAAGCGTGGGCGGGGCGCGGGGGTGGAAAGGACAGGAATAGAACGTTCAGATTCATCAGTGTGATTGGGTGTAAAGATTTGAGTGAAAGAATCACACGATCTGCTAACTTTTCTTCATATTTTGTTCTGTTTTAGGAATTCAACGAATAGCAACACAAGCTTCGGTTCAGACGGGACCACTTGGTTTGATACGGGATTGGTGCCTGATTTGAAAGACATCCATCCAGATCCAATGCAGGTAAGTCGGATCTTTCCATCGTGTGCTAATTCGATGCTCCGAAAATATTCACATGTGGTCATTCGGTTTCGTCGTTTTTGTTTTGTCGTGCTAAAAATTCAAATACGAAACTTCACAAAGTGTATGCGACTCAAATGATCGTTAGCGTTTGGTCATTAACTGCTTGATGTTTCCCTAACATCCATTTAAGTTACCTACAGAACGGTTTTGTGAACATATTTCAACTTTTTATAACGTTGAATGGTTTAATCCTTGTTTTCCTTTTTGGAGAGCATAAAAACCATATCAATTTTTAGCATCATCGTAGTTGCAACACACACGGATGGGTAGTTTTAAGGACCTCAGATAGACGTTGCCATCGATCCAATACGTAAATGAACTCTATCCCGAAAGCCGAAAGCACAGATTTCCAGCTCTATGATCATTGAAATATGAATGTTGATGTTCTCTATGGTCTTTTGATTGTTACCAGATAAGTTCTACTCAAATGAAAGATTCACATGTTTCATGTGAATTTAGCTGAATGATCGTGAAGAAGAACCCCTTGTATCACTCTCTCCCCGCCCCCT